CACACACGCTCACTCACACACACCACACGTACACACACACCACAGTTGAATACACACACATATACAAACTTACATACACAAACACGTATACACTAACACACATAAACACACGCACAAACAGACACACACACGCGCGCACACGCACATACATACACACGCACACACACACACACGCACACCACACGTAGCAAAACGTTCAATTTAAACAAATCCTAAGAGCGGAATACAATTTTTTTTAGAAAAGGCAATTGAGAACAGAAAAAAAATGAATTACTTGGGAAGAAAAAAAGAAAACAAAGAAATTAAAAAATTTGAAAAAAGAGGGGAGACGTCGAAAAATAAATATGAGAGAGAGATAGAGAGAGAGAGAGAGAGAGAGAGAAGAGAGAGAGGAGAAAGAGAAGGAACAAAGAGAGAAAGACAAGAAAAAACTCTCCATTTATTAATTTATTCATTCTCGTATGTTTTAAAGTTTTAAAAGAATTAAAAGGATTAGAAGAGAGAAAGAGAGAACGAAAAATTGAAAGAGCTAAAGTGAGAGAGGAAGAGAGTAGAGAGAGAGAGAGAGAGAGAGAGAGAGAGAGAGAGAGAGAGAGAGAAAGAAATAATGAACATTCATTCATTTATTCATCTTCCTATTGTATGTACGGTACGTATACACCTAGCAAAATTTGCACCACTCGTTTGAACGCTCGTAAACGAATGTTTTCAATTATCATTAATCAGTTAGTGTTCATCAGAGCTAGTAGATCGTTCCTTTTTTTAATTTAAATTAAATTAAATTGATTAAATGGGTATTTAATTAATTCCAAAAAGATTGTTATCCAAATGTTCTATTGCTTTATCGTTGTTATAAATTAATTATTGATATTAATATTTTCCTGGCAAAAATAATTAATCTAAATCACAAAATATTTAGTCAGAGTGATTATTAACACTTACCCATTCCCATCACACACCTATACACACTCCCACACATACACACACACACACACAAACACACAAATATACACATACATTCATCCATCCATCTCTCCATTTATTTATCCATATTTTATAAATCTTCATTCATCCATCCAAGTTGTTCATTCATACATGTTTTTGTTTGCGTATGTATGTGTGTGTGTGTGTGTGTGACTGTGTATGTGTATGTCTGTTTGTAGGTGTGTGTATGTGTGAGTTTTCGGCTTTCCATAATTTGAAAATTTATGTCTTTGTTTGCAGTTCGTTATTCAACATGCATCTTAAATAGCATTCTTCAAATATTTGCCATGATCGGTTCCTTGCTAGCTTGATTGGATGGATGGATGGGATGAAGTGCTTAGGGGAAGGAATGAATGGATGAATGATGAATGGATGAATAAATGAGTAGATAGGATATGCATTGATAAATGAGTATATAAATAAAAAAATTAATAAAAAAATGGATGAATGAATGAAAGATAAGTTGAATGAAGAACGAAAAAAAAAGATGGATGGATAGTTGGATGCACGAGCAAAGATTCAGATTAAAATATGTTTATATAATACGGATAAATGAATGAATGAGAGAATGCACTAATAGATAGATAAATGGATAGATGAATGGATAGATGAATGGATAGATGAATGGATAGATGAATGGATAGATGAATGGATAGATGAATGGATAGATGAATGGATAGATGAATGGATAGATGAATGGATAGATGAATGGATAGATGGAAGGATGAATTAATGGATTGATTGACGGACTGACAAATGAATGAATACCGGAAAAAGAACGTGCTATATAGGTCATCAGATAACCATCATGTATAAATTTCCTTTATATAATTTCGCATGTACGTATAAATGGCTCCAACGGATGTCTGTTTGTTTACATGGGTGGGTAACTCATCGTCATCGTCAAGAAAGAGATAGCTTTAAAAAGATACCGAATGAAAGAGAAAGAAAGAGAGAGAGAAAGAGAGAAAGAAAGAGAGAGAGAAAGAGAGAAAGAAAGAGAGACAGACAGAGAGAGAGAGAGAGAGTGATGGTACAGCTTCGGAGAATATGCAGAATAGTAATAAAAACAAGTTAAATGAAATCGACTGTGATACACTGATATAGATGAAGACATAGAGAGAAAGATAAAGAGGAAGAAGAAAGGATAGGATGGAAAAAAGAGAATAAACAAAGAGAGAGAGAGAGAGATAGAAAAAGAGAGAAAGTGAAAAAAAAGAGAGAGATACGGTTAAGATTAGTGAAAGAGAGATAATAAAGATGAAAAGATTGAAGAGGTAAAAGATGTATAGGAGTTTAACAGGTGTAAAAATAACTTCAAATACGACTACTACTGATACTGCTGCTGCTGCTACTACTACTACTACTACTACTACTACTACTACTACTACTACTATTACTTTTTACTTCTACAACTACTACTAATACTACTGCTGCCATTACTACTACTACTACTACAGTTACTATTAATACTACTGCTGCCGCTACTACTACTACTTCTACTACTACTACTACTACTACTGCTAAGATAATAATAATAATAACATTTAAGTGGATATATAGGTAGACAAAAGAACGTAGTAGATTTAGTTGAATGAATAGGCGAATAAAAAATGATATGATAAAAAAAAATTAAATAAATACAAATAAATAAATATAGGAGTGATAGATGGATTGACAGATAGATGGATGGATAGTACTATTACTTTTGCTGCTGCTGCTGCTACTGCTGCTGCTACTGCTGCTGCTACTACTACTGCTACAAATGCAGTACTGTTGTTATTACCATTCTTAGTAGTACAATGTTCATGCCTTCATAGTACAGAGATGGATAACATGAAAAATACTAATTCAATTTCTCTAACCCATGTGATTGTTTAGACAAGTGATTGTATGTTTGTTCATTTCGTTTGTTTGTTCATTCGCTCGCTCGTTTGTTCGTTTGTTTGTTTGGACGTTTGTATGTGTGTATGTTTGCTCTGCGCTTGCATGTTTCATTTTTTTTGTTGTATGTTTATTTATTAATTTTTTTCGGTTGTGTAATTTTAAACTTCTAAATTTAACATTTGGCTTCTTATTAGTTTGTAATGTTCATCTTTATTTATTAATTCGGTGTTTTCCTCACTCATTCAACCGTTTGGTGTTTTTTCATTCATTCATTCATTCATTCATTCATTCATTCATTCATTCATTCATTCATTCATTCATTCATTCATTCATTCATTCATCCATTCATCTACCTCACACAAAGCGTTTTGTGTCTATTGATACGAAAGACTTGTTATAAATCAGCCTAAACTTTCATTGCTGTCTACATTAAAAATAATAATAATAAAATTACTAATAATATTAATAAATATTAATAATAATATTAAATTAAATAGATGGAACAAAAGTTATAGCAATAATAATAGCGTGAATGAAATATTTTAATATATCCAAATATCAATAACATTGAGATCAATTGGTGAAAAACATTCGAAATAAGCTTCGCACTTTTTACTATTGCGCACATACACACGCACACACCCACATACACGCACGCACACACACAAAGACAGACATACGTACACAAACAAACACACACACGCGCACATTCACACACAGACGGACTTAAATGCACTCATGACCTGAATGCATTTATTTTGAATCTTAATTAATTTAGCTCCTTAACAACATTTGCTTAAGAAATTCTGTTATAAAGTACACACCTCAGTACTGACATACACACTTTTGCATGCTTTGCCACATACATACACACACACATGCATACATACACTTTTGCATGCTTTGCCACACACATACACACACACATACACACACATTCACACACACCACACAACGTATATATATATATATATATAACATAGATAATCATAACAAGATAGTTTATTCACATAACAAAGATAAATGATCAAACTTTTCCACAAAACAGTATGCAAAGGAGCCGCATACATCGCCCTGACTGAAGACTCGGCGGACAGCAGGTATGCCAAACTCGACAAAATGTACCGCCATTGCCAGTACGTAGAGAATAATGTCATTATCGATTTCACTTTTGCCGATTATGGCGAGAGTAACTTGAGCTTTGATTTCCTGAAAGATATCGAAGAAATTAAAGGGTACGTTGAAGGGTGTTTGTCTGTCTGTGCTATGGTACTATTTTAAAATATACACAGACACGCACACACACACACACACACACACACACACACACACATACAGACACGCACGCACACACACTCACACACACAGAGACACACAATGCACACATTACGATATGGCAAACAAACACAATACATTATTACATTCAAAATAGGACACAATACATCTAGAATACATTGCAATGGAACATAAAATACACATACAATACAATGGAATATATTTAGTAGAATATACAAAATACACAAATTTCCCAACAGATTTCTACTAATAAGAAAGATTAAGGCGAAGAAAATACCATTCAACAATTTGAAGATCATCTGGGGCCAAAAACTCTATAAATACCAGACGTACGTCAACAAAACTGCGAAGAAAAGCGATAGATCCTATTCAGTGTTTGTCGATGCTGTGGAGTCTTCGGCGGAATATGTTCACATTTATATGCCAAATTTAGTGGGTTAGATTGTGACGATGGAGATGAAGATGATGACGGTGAAGACGACGACTGTGATGACGATACGACGGCACTGATAACAATGATAATCAACAACAACAACAAACACCATCATCATCTTCATCATCATCTCCACCATCGTCATCTTCACCATCGTCAACTTCACCATCATCATCTTCACTATCGTCATCTTTACTATTGTCATCTTCACCATCGTCATCTTCACCATCGTCATCTTCACTATCGTCATCTTCACCATCGTCATCTCCACCATCATCATCATTATCCTCATCGTCTTCACCATCATCGTCTTCACCATCATCATCTTCAATATCGTCATCTTCACCATCGTTCTCTTCACTATCATCATCATCATCACCATCATTACCATATATAGAAATCATGAATGGTGACGTCAGCTTCCGTGATATGGACTCCTTACCCTACCTTAAAAGCATTCTTTGGCCTGAGCTACTCAGCAACTACGGCAATATGACTGACCAGCAGTGGGTCCAAATTTCCGGAGCCACCGGAAGGAGAAATGGTGATGATGATGATGATGATGATGATGGAGATGATGAAGATGATGATGGTGATGATGATGATGAGGGAGATGATGATGATGGAGATGATGATGATGATGGAGATGATGAAGATGATGATGATGATGGTGATGGAGATGATGATGATGATGATGATGATGAGGGAGATGATGATGCTGGAGATGATGATGATGGAGATGATGATGATGATGGAGATGATAATGTTGTTGGTGGTGGTGCTGCTGCTGATGATGATAGTGATAAAAATAATGTTGATAATAATGATGATGATGGTGATGATGGTGGTGGTGGAGATGATGATGTTGTTGTATATACATACATACATAGACAAACATACAAACCTACGTACATATGTGTTGTCATACATACATTATACATACATACATACAAACAAACAAACATACATACATACCAAAACACACACATACTGGCAAACATACAAAAAGCCTAATCCCCCATTGTGTTCATTGGGCTTGATTACATCAATATTTATTGTTGGCGTCATTTCTTTCGTCACATTTCGCCATTCATGCCTTATAATGAAACGGAAACAGATCAATATGATGATGATGATTGTGATGATGATGTGATGATGATGGCGACGATAGTGATGATAATGATCTTAGAGATGATGTTTGTATTGATGATGGGGATGATGACGACGACGATGATGATTTTGTTTGTATGAAGACGACGCTGAGAATGATGTAAGTTATAGCCACCATAGCAATCATCATCATCATCACCATCATCATCATCACCATCATCATTATCATCATGCTATCATCATCACCATCATCATCACCATCACCATCATCATCATCACCATTATCAACATCACCATCATCACTATCATCATGCTATCATCATCACCATCATCATCACCATCATCATCACCATCATCATCACCATCATCATCATCACCATCATCATCACTATCATCATCACCATCGTCGTCATCATCGTACAAGCAATGTTTGCTCATGACATCATCTTCCGGACACTTCACAAGGATATACAAAGCAGTTAATCAATTTTGTATCAACTTGTATGTCTGGTGTTTGCTTGTATGTGTTGTTTGTATTGTTTGTCTGCTGGCTTGTATGTGTGCATGTGTGTCTTTGTATGCTTGCTGAAAAAACACCGTACCACTCGTTAGAGATCATAGCTCCGAAAGCAACAAAACCCAAAGATTGCGATTATAACAACAACAAAAATACTACTATTATTATTACTACTGCTGCTGCTGCTACTACTATTACACAAATAATAATAATAATTAATGATAATAATAACAATAATAATAATTTCAGAAATTAATAATAATAATAATAAAAATAATTTCAGGAAATAATAAATGTCACATGACGTGTAAACCATTCGATGGTCAGAAGAGATGCTGGTCTGGCAGGGCCGAAGACTGCCAAAAATGTTTGTTATTATTATTATTATTATTATTATTATTATTATTTACGCATTCTTCTTTAGGATGTCGAGCTTCGTAGAATGTTTTAATTTTTAATTTTAAAACAATTTCACTTTTATTAAATTTTAATTCATTAACAATTTTTTTTAACGTGTGATCTATGATGAAAATAAAATGATGTTCCCATTATTAATATTATTATTATTATTATTATTATTATTGATGTTATTATTATTGGTATTGTTATTGTTGTTTTTATTATTATTATTATTATTATTATTTTACTTAGTTTCATTTCAATTTGTTTTATTTGTTTTGCTCTATCGTTGGTGTTTTAACTCAATGTGTTTTCGTTATTATTATTAATTATTGTTATTATTATTATTAATTGTTAATATTAATAATAACTATTATTGTTATTATTATTGTTAGTATCAATTATTGTTATTATTATTGTTATTCCTTTCGTCGCTTTGTACATAACTTCGTTATTATTATTATTACTATTATTATTATTATTATTATGGTTAAATCATTTTTTTTATGCCGTAATTATTACAAATCAACATCATCGTCATCGTCGTCGTCATCAACAACATCATCATCATAACCATCATCGCTATCATCATCAAAACCATCATCACCACCATCATGACCATCACAATCATAACCACCACCATCATCGTCTTCATCATCATCATAGTCACTCGCATGGGTTGTAGTAGTAGTTGCGAGAACAGATGTTCAGTGAACTCATCATGGCGATGCTGTGACGATGAGTGCGCCGGAGGCTGTCGAGACTACGGGCCCGCTAGCTGCTACGTTAGTGGATGATGACGATGATGATGATGATGATGAGGATGGTGATGATGACGATGATGATGGTGATAATGATGAGGATGGTGATGATGAGAATGGTGATTATGATGATGAGGATGATGAGGATGGTGATTATGATGATGATTGTTATGATGATGACGATGATGATGATGATGACGATGATGATGATGACGATGATGAGGATGGTGATTATGATGATGACGATGATGATGATGACGATGATTATGATGAGGATGGTAATGATAAGAACTTTGACGAGATTAGGGGTTACGTTAGTGATGATGGTGATGGTGATGATGATGATACCTATGATGAAATTGGAGATTACGGAAGTTGTTGAAGAAAGCCGAAAAAATTGAAAAAAAAAAGAATGATGAGAATTGTGAAAAAAATTTTTTTTTGATTTGAACGATCATTCGGATTTCGCTTTCGCTCTTAGTTTCACTTTCAGTTTCACTTTCAGTTTCAGAATTTACTTTCACTTTCGTTTCGTTTTTTTGTTTCTAAAAATAGGCCTGCAAAAACTACAACATCGGGAAGAAGTGTGTTAAAAACTGCCCGCCACTCGTGAGATATGACTCCATCAAAATGCAACACGTCAGAGATCCGGCCGGGATGTTTAATCTGGAAAAATCTTGCGTGCCCAAATGTCCAGGTTGAGTGGTTAATTGATTGGTTTGTTGGTTGATTGATTAGTTGGTTGATTGATTGTTTGTTTGTTTGGTTGATTGGTTGTTTGATTGGTTGGTTGGTTGGCTGGCTGGCTGGTAGGTTGACTGGTTGGTTAGTTAGTTGGCTGGTTGATTGGTTGGTTAGTTCATTTTATTCATTTAATTATTTTAAAATCAACTGACACAAAGTTTCTATCGAGAGAAAAATCATCACCACAATCGTCACCACAATCATCACCACAATCATCACCACAATCATCACCACAATCATCACCACAATCATCACCACAATCATCACCACAATCATCACCACAATCATCACCACAATCATCACCACAATCATCACCACAATCATCACCACAATCATCACCACAATCATCACCACAATCATCACCACAATCATCACCACAATCATCACCACAATCATCACCACAATCATCATCAGACCACATGTTGGTTGAAAGAGACTCATGTGTAATTATCTGTGGAAGCAACTCCAGGCCAGATATGGAGAGCCGAACGTGTGTTGATTGTTCCAAGTCTGACTCATGCCCCAAGGGTGAATTCATAGAATAATTACAAATCCCTAACAAAATATTTCATCATCTAAAAAGTAGAAAGATCTTTCTCCGACTATATACAACGTTTCAGGCAATACATACATACACATATACATACATACATACATACATACAAACATACAAACATACATACAAACATACAAACATACATACAAACATACATACAAACATGCAGTATGCAATGGCACGGAGGGCATTTTCACGGCAAAAGACCTGCCCTCTCTTGAAAACTGCATCATCATCCATGGCCATATTCGATTATCTAATTTTTCTTTTACCGGGTCGGTTATTATAATTATTATAATTATCATAATTATCATAATTATTGTTATTATTATTATTATTATTATTGTATTGTTATTATTCATCCATATTCGTACATTCATCTTTTTCTTTTAATTCTTCCTCAATCAATCCGAAACACCACCTCCACCAGACGAGACGCGATGAACCTATCCGACTTGAAGGTATTCGAATCGGTCGAGATTATAACCGGATCCCTGGACATAACCGAAATTACCGATCCCGAATTGACGGATCTCTCCTTCCTTCGTAATCTTAAGTTCATCATGGGAAACCAAATTGATGGGTGGGTGAGTGGATGAGTGAATGAATGAACGAATCCATGAATGAATGAATGGATGAGTGATTAGATGAATGATTACATGAATTAATGAGTGAATGAATGAACGAATACATGAATGAATGAATGATTAGATGAATAAATGAATCAAAAATCTCAGCCAACCAACCGACCAACCAGCCAATGAAATTAAATTTCAGAGTCAGGAGTGGAATAGCCCTCAAAATCCTCTCAAACGGGATCAAAACTCTATCCCTCAACCCATCCCTGGCCGTCATAAACGGCATCACGCAAATCGCCGAAAATCCTAAACTCTGCCTAACTCAAAACCTACCCTGGGGTAACGTGACGAAAGTTTACCTGACTAAAAATAGAAATGACGATGACTGCGGTTGGTGAAGTTAGCAACTATTTGCTTAATTATTATTATTATTATTATTGAATTAATTTGCCGTTAACAAATATTAAAATCATTTACTAATTAAAATTAATCAATTTATTCAATTATCTATTTATGTAATTCAATTATGTATATATGTATGCATGATCTTGAAGGCATATTCACGTATTAATGTATGTGTGTTCTATATATCAATAGATGGATACATAGGTTGAATGGTTGAATGACTAGGTGAATGGTTAAATGACTGAATGACTGAATGAATGAATGAATCAATCAATCAATCAACCAACCAACCAACCAACCAATCAATCAATCAATCAATCAATCAATCGACCAATCAATCAATCAATCAATCGACCAACCCATCAATCAACCAATCAATCAATCAACCCATCAATCAATCAATCAACCTACGCGTTTTTCTCTTTGCGACAGAGGCTTTTTTTCGTTCCTTAACTCGTGTTTTCAACAGTTTTAAACATTTTTTGATTAAACTACAAGTCTGTAATGTTCATTTTATATATATTATTTAATTTTGCCGGCAAAGATTTGTTAAAATGATTTTAATTTGATTTTAATTCAGTTGAAAATCTTCGTTTTATGAAAAGTTGGACGTTCTTCTATTGAATACTGATAACCTTTCGTGAATAAATTTGATGAAAAAATCATTTGTTTATTTAATTTCTATTCATTCATTTATTCATTCTTCATTCTTTCATTCACTCATTCATTTAATCAGCCAGTCATTCATTCATTCATTTATTGATTTCTTCTACATTCATCGACTGATTCATACACTCACTCACTCCCATACTCTCTCACTCACTCCCTCAATCACTCACTTACTCACTCATTCACTCACTCATTCAATCACTCTCTCAATCACTCACTCACTCACTCACTCACTCGTTCATCCATCTAGCGGCAAGCAACATAACATGCCACGTTGCTTGCGACAAGCGATTTGGTTGCATGGGCGTCGCGAGCAACCAATGCTACAAGTGCAACAACATCACGCACCATGACGACTGTATACTCACTTGTGATCATTACGACTACATGCAACCGGTGTTCAGTGATGGTAGTGATGATGATGACGATGATGGTGACGATGATGATGACGATGATGATGGTGACGAGGATGATGACGATGATGATGGTGACGATGATGATGACGATGATGATGGTGACGATGATGATGGTGACGATGATGATGATGGTGGTGATGATAATAGTGATGGTGATGATGAGAATGATGGCGGTAATGGTTATAATGGTAGTGGTGGTGTTGATGATAACAATGACGATGATGATTAAGATGATGATGATGATGGTGATGGTTACTTAATGTATTATTCAATCATATATCCATTCCATATCCCTTCGTTCATTCATTCTACTGTCCATTGCTTCTTCATTTGTTCAATCCTTCATTCATTCATTCATTCATTCATTCATTCATTCATTCAGGTATTGGTGGAGACGATGGAAAAGTGATGAAGTGTAAGAGATGTCACCAGGAATGTAGGGCCGGATGCAACGGATCGGTGAGCGAGATGGTGATGATGAAGATGATGGTGATAGTGATGATGATGGTGAAGAAGAAGAAGAAGAAGAAGATGGTGATATTAGTGATAATGATAGTGATCATCACCATCGCTATCATCATTTCAAGCATCATCATCACGAACATCATCACCATCATTACATCATCACCATCACACATCATCATCACCATCATTATATCATCATCATCATCACAAACATAGTCATCATCATCAACACAAACATCATCATGCTGGCAGCTGGCTTCCGACTGTTGGAGGTGCGTGTCGTACAAGCACCAGGGCACGTGCGTCAGCGAGTGTCCACTTGGTTTCGTGCCGGGAAAAGTTGATGACGTGTGCATTGAAATGTAAGCTGATTGGCTGGTTAATTCACTGGCTGATTGGCTAGCTGATTGATTGGTTGGCTGATTGATTGGTTGGTTGGATGATTTTTTGGTTGATTGTTTGATTGATTAATTGTTTGATTGATAGTATCATTTTTGTTTGATAGTATCTTTATTTCCTTTTTCCTACGTTAAATACATGTAACAGAAGCATTAATACTGATGAATTAAAAAAAGGTTAGGTTAAATGCTGAGTGTTCATAAGATGGTATTGTGTCAAGCTCATCATCATCATCATCATCATTATTATTATTATTATTGTTATTATCTTTTTTATTTGTATTCTTTGGTAAATATTTTTCTTTCCTATTTTTGTGGTGGGGTTGGGGCTAGAAAAACAAAAAATCAGTGATTACTGATAAGAAAAATTTATCAATTTAACATATGGAATAGTGGTAAAGTGTTTGCTTTTTGTGCTGCTGTAACCGGATTCGAATTCGCAAAGAGATCAACTATTTAGTGATTAATGTAGGTTAGATTAATGATTAATGTGATTAATGGGGGTTAGATTTGTCGGTAATGTGATTAGTGTAGTATAATATGTATTTTAAAAGACCAGATAGAAGATGGTGTTAAACATTTGAATGGAATAAATATTACAAAGTTTTAGAGGCGCAAAACTCAAACTACATACAAAGAGATGTCATTCCTCGAGATGCAAAGCTTTGTATCTCTGGGTCATTATTATTATATTACTGATGAAGAATTAGAAGCTGATCTAGGAACAATAAAAGTATCC